AGTGGTTATTTTCCTTGTTTACTGATTGTAGATTTATTTATTTCATCCTGCTTTTTTATTTGGTTATGTCTGAGCAGGTGGGCTGTGCATTCTTTGCTGTTTGTTCGTCTGTGGGCACCGTACTTTTAGGCTCCTTGTCCAATCAGCAGGGTCAGTCGCTCAGCTATGGTGAAGCAGGGCAGGGCCAGCTGAAAGGGAGATGCTGGGATGGTTTGTTTGTGGCACGTACTACGGCCGACAGGCCAGGCCGGGAATCAATGCAGGGCATGTTCCAGTATGCCATGCCTGTGCTGCTCGGGGATGTGATGTTCAGCGCATGCTGCAGGTAGGCAGGAAGTGGGGGGGGGGATTGGGATGTGTAGAGCTAAAGCGGGTATAGGAAAGAGGAGAGAGAAGAGAGAGAAACAGGCGCCAAAAACAAACAAACAGAAAAGAGTGCTAGGGGACCTTGCCACTGGATGGAGCGATGAGAGACTGAGAAATGGAGAAAAACAAGAAGAAAAAAAAGGTAAAAGAAAAATAAATAAATAAAAATTAGAAAAGAAAAGAAAAGCCCCCAGGGATCCCACTGGTGCAGTTGTGAAGACTGAGGAAGTGGCTCCAAGGCTGGGAAGTACAGCCTGGCTAGAAGAGGTAGAGGTGTCACACACCATCAGGTATTCAGGAGACAGGAAGAGATGGTAAGTATAGAGAGACAAGAAACTGAGAAATGAAGAAAGACGAAAAGGGCAAAAGAGAGGAAACAATCAACAAACATTTTAAAACTCCTCTATATCATGAGGTCTTTCCCTTCTCACACAGGAAAGGAAAAAAAAAAAAAAAAAAAAAAAGAAGAAAAAGGAAATGCACCCAGGGATCCCACTGTGCAGCTGTGCAGACTGACAAAGTAGCTTCCAAGCCATGCAGTATAGCCCGGCTAAAAAGGGCTCCCAAGCCGGGAAAGGAAAAAGAAAACAAAGAAACAAAAAGCCCCAGGGATCCCACCAGCGCAGCAGCACGGGCCAGGAAGCAGTTCCACAGTTGAGTGGTATTTCACAGCCTTTCAGGAAGAAGCAAAGACTGCCCATGGAGCCAGGTATTTGACAGAAAGGAAGAGGAGGTGGTGAGAGGTATGGAAAAAAATAAAAGAAGCGGAAAAAAGCAACACCAGCAACAAACGATACTCCGGGAGCCAGCCAGCAAGGGCGGGTGGAATCCAAGCCGTGCAGGGATGAAGCCAGTGTCTCCTGGCCAAGAGACTGTAGCTGCAGGAAGCAGAGGAGGCCGAGCTGGGGGTGAAGAAGGGTGGGGGGTGGGAAAGCGTATATCGCTGGTTACTAGTGGTTCTGTCTCCTGCTGGAGGCTCCGTGAAGCTGCTTTCCCATACTCTGTGTTCGCCAATCTCCGACAGGAGTCCAAGATGGCAAATCTGGCTCCATTAGCTGATAGGGGACCTCTGCATGTATCTCTCCTCGCTCTCTCTTCTTTGACAGTTTCTTATTCTATTTCGTGCTTGGCTGAGTTCTTTATCTCTTCATTTGATGCTTAAGGTTTCAGGATTGACATTTGTCTCTGTTTGACTTAGTTTTTCGGGTCTTTGCTGTGGAGGGACAGCGTGGTGCTTCTGTCTATAGTGCCATGTTGCCTGGAAGTCTCACTAAGTGTTTTAATAACCTTGATGAATTGCTGATAACATTTGCTTAAAATACCTTTCTCTCAGACTGAGGTACCCATGGGTTATACAGAGAGAGATACAGATATTTGGTTATTTATATGGATATTTTCAATACTTGTAAATATCCACATACAGGCAGTTCTCTACTTATGACGGGGTTCAGTTCCTATGATTACTCCATCTTAAGTTGGTTCTGACGTAAGTCGAATACCTCATTTTTTTTTCCATTATCATTGCCTTTTATTATCAGTATCTTTATAAATCCCATCTTTATTTGTCTTTCATGGTTGGAAACATTACATCTGAGAATGACAACATCAGCAAATTACATACTGCAAGATCATATGTAGTACGTACTACTAACCATAAGATGTCCAAAAAAAAAAAAAAGAATGGTTGGAAGTACTGTTTGTCATAACTCAAATATGTTATAAGTCAGGAACTAGCTGTTATTGCCTTTTGTAGGGTTTCACTGGGACATATGGCACCATCTCCATACTGCTTCAGTGTCTTTAAATGCTGAAATGATAATTTTACATTCCACTCAATAGTATCTAAATACAAATTAAATACAATGATTTAACCACTGAATGAGAACTGTCTTTACCGTGTTTGAGTCAGGCCAGACTTTTAATCCCACCCCTTCCCAGAAATATTCCTAAGCCATTGCAACTTCTGGGCAGATACAGCAATTCTAAGGCCCTAAGAATTGAAGCCGACCAAGATAAGTTAAAAAGTTGGGAAAACACTACCAACAGCATTAATAATCAGCTCCGTAGAGTCAAAATGTTCCCGAAGTTTTCAAAAACCACCCTGCATTTGAGAGGCCCAGGTATTTATGCCTCAGAGAAGCAGCTAGTGGGAGAGGATGTTACCTGACTCTGCAGCGCATATATTAACAATTCTCCACAAGTTCTAGCTTTATCAACCCCAACTCTTTTTCCATTACATGCTCATCAAACAAACTTGTGGTTGTTCATTTCCCTTTCAAGGTTCCCTTCAAAGTTCATTTTAACTGATTTCACCTCCACATATTGATAGGGAATGGAAGTGAAGGCTTCAGAAAGGGGGAGGAAAGTGAGATTCAACTTTGATTCACAACTCTCAGATACAGAGTCCTGGATTTCAGAGAGTGGAATGTGGAGGAAGCAGCCAGCTGGTAATAACCTCATCACTGAATTAACCATTATACCTTATCAAACAAGTATCTTCCAGACATCCAAATATTGATTATAATGAGATTTGTGATGCCCCCAATCATGATATACACCAATGTTCCCAATTATCTCTCCAGGAATATTACTAAATTTTCAAAACAAAGTCAAAATCCATCCATGCAAAGCTTAAAACCCACTTTCCATATACAGAGCACCTGTGAAGAAATGGGAGAGGTATTGCAAGATCAAACAAAAGGATGAGTATGGAAATATTTTAAGAGATTGGTGCCTATATTTTGAAAAACTATAATGTTGTATATCAAATCAGAGATCCTCTATTTCTTCATAGTTTATATCCTTATTATTTCTAAAATAGTCTTCTTTTAAGTTGAAATGTCAATATTGCATTGAGGAAAAATTTATTTGGGAATCTGTTTAGTAATTATTTAGAAATCTGACTCAAGCTGTAAAGCAATATATATTTCCTCTTTAAATAACTCTAGGAAAGCACCTTTTCTGTTTTCTCTATTTGATAAAATCAACTTGTTTTATACAGTTAAATTTCTAAAGGTTCATTTTCAGAGAAGTAAAATCTGTGTGAAAGTAGCGATATTTGTCAGTTTAGGAGATAGTATTAATTGAAAATTTACTACATATGGTTAAACACTTGGGTTATAGGATCTAAATTTGCTGTCGAAAAAAGGGAGGCAGGGAGAAGTTAAATGAGAATAAAATATCTATTTTACTCTCAATGAATTTCCATGAAAGTGAAAAAAGAGGGACAAATATTAATTACTTCATTTGTCCTTCTTATTCTAATTTTAAGAAGCCCTGGTGGCACAGTGGTTAAGTGCTCAGCTGTTAACCAAAATGTCAGCCATTTGAACCCACCAGCCGCTCCCCAGGAGAAAGATGTGACAGCCTGCTTCTGTAAAGATTACAACCTTGGAAACCCTCTGGAGCAGTTCTACCCAGTCTCATAGGGTTGCTATGAGTCGGAATTGACTCAGTGGCAACATGTTGTTTGGTTTATCCTAATCTTCCATCAATCCCATAACGAGCAGTGGTTAATTTGCTATCTAACGATAAACCTTTGAAAGATACACTCATTAACTCTTCAACTCTTCATTCAACTCCTCTAAAGCAACTGTTCCAAGCTGGCTGATCATCAGAAATTACTTGGGAGGGCTTTTGAAAAACAGAGATTCCCACGTTCCACCCACATATGGGTGTGGGAGTCCGTATTTTTAAAAAAGCTATCCAAATGCATGTGATAATAAAGCTTTCAAAACCACTGTTCTGAGATAGTTAATCATTTAGAAATGCTTCAGAAAAAAATGAAGAGAAATATTTCTCATTTCGTGGTTACCGAAGCAAAGGAAAAAAACGTTTTTTTTTCCTTAACTAAGGCACTGCAAAACTGATTTTTAAACAAATTATTAGAAAAAAATTAGTAGAAACCAAATACAGATACCTCAGCTTCAAAGAAGAAATATTTGGTGTTGAATTTTCTCTTATATCTTCCTAGGTACAATATTAAATACACCCTCACAGTCATACTTTGGAACTGCTGTCAGCCATCTTCTCTGCTATTAAAATGTACTTTTCTTCCCTTTCATTCCTTAAGACTTCGTAAGTATCTCTGATTAGCTAATATATTTATGCCAAGGTGCTAACTGAATTACTCCTTTATCTTTCCCCAGGGTGTCTGCATTAAAAACAGCAAATAAATAAAAATTCTTAGGATATGTGTGTACACACACACACACTCACAGACATGAAGGACAACAGACGAACCTTTTCAGTGACCCATATCTCAAATTATAATACACACACTAGTACCTTCTTCACAAATTTAAGATGATCTCTGACACACAAGGTAGATGAAAATCATAACTTATATCTTACTTTACCCTTCTGTTCCCCTTACCGACACACCTCTACCAGAAAGAAACATAAAATGCATAAGAGGAGAAAAGGAAACATTTTAAAACCCCCTCCTAAAATAATTGGCTTTCATCAAAGTTGCAGCAAAGAAATAGAATGACTGGTTAAGAAAGAGGAAAACACTGAATAAGAGAAGAATGAAGTAAATAATAGACAAAAAGCATTATCATCATTAATTTGCCACTCTCAGAGATAGCATTTCCATCCTTAATTAGCACGCATTCAGTCAATATGCAACACACCTGTAAGACTGTATCCTCACTAAGAGCAGGCATCATCTTACTGGTATTCATTTGCTCTTGTGGATGCTCTCTGAGTTTAAACCCAAGTTGAATCTCAGGAGAAGGCATGCCTAGAATGAAATATAGTCATAAATCATTTGTAACAGCTTTATTGCTCTGCTTTGACAATGAACCAAGGATTTTATTAACATTGAAAAATGTCATTAAAAATCATTCTGTAAATCATAATTTCTTAACTGTCACTTTTATGTGTCAAGGTTTTTGAATCATTAATTGGGGGGAAATGTACATACTACATTGAACAAAATAATATTTGGTATTTCTTTCAGGATCAATAATGCAAAGTACATGTCTAGAAAATTATATAGATTTAAGTCCCATTAAAAAGAATCTTTCTTCCTTTTTTTTTTTTTTTAACTTCTTTTAGGTCATTTTTTAAAACTCATAATGCTAGTACATAACCCAAGAAAAACCAGACTTTCTGTTCCCAAGATGGCAAACTGAGCCAATATCTTAACTTTTCATCCCCCAGCCCCAAGTTCCTAAGGAAATATCCAAAGAACTGTATTTTTTTTAATGACTACTTAAAAAAAAGAGAGAGCAAATATACCATCTATAGATCAGAAGATTGGACTGGATTAAAAAAAAAAAATCAGTGGTTAAGAGCTGCCACTCAACATAGGAAAAGGAAGGGACTCCCTCAGAAGTAACTATATGGATTTCCCCATTGGAACCCCAGAAAACTGCCAGCTCAGAGCGGAGATCTAACTAAAAACAAAATGCCTCACAGTTAGAAGAAAGTAAATTAGAATCACAGAGTAAAGCCTCACACTTCACTGAGCTTGCTATTTGTACCAAAGAAGCTTAGGACAAATGTTGTAGCCACCTACTCTATCTAAGGTGATACCTTCCCTACCAGATACAGAAACATGCTAAAAGCTAAGGATGATAAAATAATGTAGTGATGGTGCAGGAATATCAGATACATCACTGAAGCTAAACAAAGGGAGAGACCAATGTATATATATGAGATATTAATACATGGCAAAAATGGCATTTTAAACAGTTGCAAAAAGATGGATTATTCAAGAAATAATATTGAGGCACTTGGTTAGCCATTTGAAAAAATAAAGTTAGAGCCCTACCTTTCCCATATGCCAAAATATTATAAACAGGTTAAAGAAATAAATATAAAAAATAGAAATACAATAAATGGAAATAAAGAAAAATATTTTTATGGTCTTGAGGCAGGTAAAGTATTTCTAAAGTTGACAGAAAACCAAGAAATCCTAAGAGAAAAGACTGACAGATTTTACTATAAAAAAAATTAAAATTTATGCACTACAAAAGATATTATGAATAAAGTTTTAAAATAACCAGCAAACTGGGTAAAACTGTTATATACATGACAAAGGTTTGCTATCTTTAATATATAAAATGATCTTATATAAGAAAGAGAAATACGCAATTCACACATACAAAATAACTATGAATGATAAACATTAAAATATGCCCAACCTCAGTATTCTTCAAAAAAGCAAATTAAAACAGACACTTTTTACTTACCAAAGAAAGTATGTACTGTATTGGGTCTAGAGGGGAAAAGTCATCTTTGGTGGTGGTGGTGGGGGGGCAATCTATGTCAAAATTTGACATGTGCACACCGTTTAAAAGCAAACCTATACTTAGTTATTCCAATGAAATAATCAGAAAAGTAGGAAAAGGTACAAGTACTAGGATATTCATATTCGTAATAGTATTAAGTGAAAAACACCATAAATATCATCAATTCATTAAGGGTATATTAATACAATGGCATATGTAGCAATTTAAAAAGCTGAGGTAGATCAATGTAGACCAGGAAAGAAATATATGTAATATGACACCAATTATAAAAAAAAGACATTTATATTGGCATACAAAAGTCTGGAAGGATATATAAATACTAAATATTGGCAATTTTTAGGAGTGAAATTATAAAGCAGAGTAGGGGGTGGGACCTTTTACTTTGTATAATGTAACAATTTGTATATTAAAAATATTTTTACTTCTAATAATTATAAAAAATAACAAAGGTCTATCCAGCTAGAAAAGGAAAAAAAAAAAAAGAAATGAAATTTTAAAAAATTTGATTGGAATATTAGAACAGATCTCTAACTCCTTACTGGTGGTACTTTATACATCATAAGAACACATTCTGGGGACCAGTATTACACATTATCCCTTCCAATTACATGTAGGAAAAACTGCTCCAAGGTGAAACTCTAACTTGCCATTGGGGTATCAGGTGAGATGAAGCATAGTGAAGGGACTAAATAAAAAGGAGATGTTAATGAAGTAATAATACTTTGGAAAATAAATTAATAATACTTTGGAATTAGTGAGAAGAATCATTTCTTACCTTTGCACATTCCACTCATACCAGGATGGAGACTGGATTCAGATTTCAGAGACATGTCTTGATCAAAGAGTAACCTTTCAGATACCAAAAAAGAAGGCACAGGTTGTTATCAAGTTTCTTTAAAGAAAAGCTGCCATATTTTTCCAGAAATGTACAATTTAATCAAAATTATGCAAGATAAAATATAAAGACTCATTTATATGGTCATGTTCATTTTTACAAATATTCTGTTACTATTTTTGGAATTTTAAGGGTAAGGGACAAATGTCAGTATGGTTTCTGAACAGAGATGAAATAAGGCAATCACATGAGAGACCGGTGCTGGTGGTTTTTTTCCCTTCGGATTTCTCTACGCCACAGAGAAACTGAGATTAAAATCCTAGGATTAGCTCTGAATGTATATTTTCATAACATGGAATGACAAAATTCTTTTAATTTCTGGATACACTTTTTACTATGTGCTAGACAGCACCGAAGTAACAAAGAGAGAAAAGACACAATCCTCGCCCTAAAGAAGCTCCAAATCTAGTGAGGGATACAGAACTAATAATTAGCAATGATACACTGTGGTGAGTAAGCTACTAGACAGGCTTAAATATCATCTTTTCTACTTAAAAGAAAACTTTTGAGAATCCAAGAATGCAACAGTGAATCATCTGTACTAAGGCATACTTATATGATTTGGTATTAAGTTTTTATTTTTTTTTTTTTTACTTCTTACCTATGGAAAATATCAAATATCAATAAATTAAAAAAAAAAAGAAAAGAAAGAATAGTATATCCATCATCTTGTTTCAACAATTATCAGTTCATAGCCAATCCTGTTTCCTTTATAATTTCCCTGGCACTCCCTCTACCCCCTGCTGACCTCCCCCTGGATTATTTCAAAAGTAAATTCTGGACATCTTATTTTATTTCATCTGTAAATATTTCAGTACGTAACTCTAAAAGATAAGGACTCTTTTCCAATATAACCATAATAATAACACCTTTTAAAAAATAACCGTAACTATTACACCTTAAAAAAAGTCAATAATTCCTTTATATTATCAAATTTACAGCCTCTAAAATGGTATTTGTGCTCTTGTGTAACCAACCCCCTCCTTTGAGTGTGGGCTGGAGCCAGTGACTCTTCTAATGAAGAGAATATAGCAAACATGTTGGGCTATTACTTCAGAGACTAGGTTACAAAAAGACACTGGCTTCTATCTTGCTCTACCTCTCCTATTCTCTTGCTTCCTGCCTCTGGTGGAAGCCAGTTTGCCATACTGTGAACTGCCATATGGAGAAACCTACATGGCAAGAAACTAGGGGAGGCCTCTGGTCAGTAGTCAGCAAGGAACTGAGGCATCGGTCCAACAGCCAATGGGGAACCAAATCCTGCCAACAGCTGTATGAGTGAGCTAGAAGACACACTCTTTCAGTCAAGCCTTGAGATGAATGCAGCCTGTGAGAGACCCTCAGCCACAGTACTCAGTTAAGCCGAGCCTAGATTCCTGACCCAAGGAAACTATAATAAACGTTTGTGGTTGTAAGGCAGTAAATTTTGAAGCTGTTACACAGTAAACAGACAACTTCACATTTCCCCAACTGTCTCTTTGTACAGTTGTTTTGTTCAAATCAGGATCCAAACAAACGGTAGAAAACCTAGCCAAAAAAGAAAGTACAACTAAGAACATAGAAATCTCCTGTAAATCTACCTGTATTAAGACTTTGGTGTATTTCCTTTGAACGTTCTCTCTATGGAGGTTTGTATGTATGTAACGTTGCAAAAGAAATCGTCTAAATTCCTGATGGATAAGAATCAGGATCAGCACAAAACTGGTTCCTATGAGGTGAAGGTCAGACATACCTCCACTTTCCAACTTTTTCACCATTTCTTACACTAGCCGTTCCCCCCACGGTATTCTGCAGGGTTCAATAATTCGTTGCAATGGCCACACAGAACTCATAGACCGTACTCAGAGTTATGTGATTTATTAGGGAAGAAACAGCTAAAACTCACGATCAAGAAGCACATAGCCAAGGTCTGGATGTCTCCCAAAGTGTAGAACACATCCTTCCTTCTTCAGTGCAGGGCAGCTTCCAACCAGGACAGCTCTTTCAGTGCTCTCCGCCCTTGGGCCTCCCCGTTGTAGGCCTCTCTTGCTGCTAACTGGTCTAGCTCATAGCCAGTGTAGCAGTCCACTCAGCCATGAAGGCCATCTCTGTCATGCAGGCCCTTTCTCAGTCCTGTAGGCCCTCTTTCAGCCCTGCAGGCCCTCTTAGTCACTGGCTCTGCTGCTGGGCCCCTTCCAGGCCTCTGCTGCCTTCAATATTACAGCACTTGACCTGTACTACAGCTCTCAGGAGGTTCCCCATGTAGGAACCCTGGGTCCAAATTACTCCGCTTCAGGCTCTTCTTGGTCTTGAGGTTCCCTCTTCCCCATCTCTATCTCTGTGGGGTTGGCAGCTTATATAACCAATGTCAATTTCAAGGCCTGGCCGTCTCAGAAGGCCCATGAGTCAACCAATCCTCTAGATGGACCACAAGTTGCTCAATCCTACTACTGAGTGATTTTACACACTACCTTTCCAACTAGTAAATCGACCAGTCCCTGCAAGGTAAGTAAAACAGACCAATCACAGGGTAGTCTGAGGACCAACCAATCATTTTTGACAGAATCACAAACCCAGGGCCAGAAAGGCCATATATAAGAGAAACCAACCGCACAGCACAGTGTGTGCGCGCACGTGCATGTGTGCACGAGTGACTAAAAATTCTTTTTATAAAATTTTAGTCAATCTTTATATTCAGAAGCTACATTTTTCATCCAACATTGTATTTAAAAATTTCTAATGTCATTAAAATTCTTCTCAAAACTGTTAAATATTGATACTACTCCATTATCATATAATGCTTAATTAATTTAAGCATTATAGGATTCTAAAACATTTAGTTTGTTTTTAATTTTTTGTTACTGCAAATTGCTCTGACATAAATTTCCTTATACATAATTTTTGGGTTTTATTTTATTTATTTATTTATTTATTTTACTATTTCCTAAAAGAAAAATGAAGAAAGTTAGGGTCAGAAAAATTATTCATAACAGTCAGCAAATGAACTGAAAATAACCTTGATTTCCTGATTCTAACTACATCAAATCTGTTGTAAAAGACCTCTTTAAGGTGCTAAAAAGCAGAAATGTCACTTTAAGGACTAAAGTAAACCTGACCCAAGCCATGGTATTTTCAATCGCCTCATACACATATGAAAGCTGGACAATGAATATGGAAAACCAAAGAAGAATCGATGCCTTTGAATTATGGTGTTGGCAAAGAATATTCAATATACCATGGACTGCCAGAAGAATGAACAAATCTGTCTCAGAAAAAGTACAGCCAGAATGCTCCTTAGATGCGAGGATAGCAAAACTTCGTCTCAGGTACTTTGGACATATTATCAGGAGGGACCAGTTCCTGGAGAAGGACATCATGCTTGGTAGAATAGAGGGTCAGTGGAAAAAAAGGAAAACCTTCAACAACATAGACTGACACAGCCGCTGCAACAATGGGCTCAAAACATAGCAGTCATTGTGAGGATGGTGCAGGACTGGGCAGTGTTTTGTCCTATTGTACAGAGGGTCGCTATGAGTTGGAACCAACTCAACGGCACCTAACAACAACAATTACATCAATAACGAACATGCCAAAAGTTACTACTTCATTATGAATGCAGTATTTTAATAATAAAATATAACTGAAATACTAGAAAATTGAAATACTGTTAACTATTTACTATAGCAGAGGGGAAAATTAGCTGATTGAGTGAAAGGAAAAATTTCAAGCAAATCTGACTGAAGACTTCAAACAATTTTCACTGCTTTTTTAAAAGTACAGGGAAATTTCTAATGACAATTAGGGTTTCAGTTTTATACATTATCAAAATTTTAACAGCACAGAGTTCTAATGCCATGCTGAGCCTTTCATTCTTAAAAAATCTAATTAAAATATCCTTTCAGTGTAACAGTTCTAAAAATAGTACTTGGCACCATCTGCCTTACTTAGTGGAATACCTTCTATTTTGACATAGATCCTGACCAAAAATGTTGCTTCCTTAATCTAATTTAATACGGTTATTAAGTCTATGTCTCCTTGTACTTTGCTTTCATTTCCACCTTCCCCCAAGAGTATTTTAATGTCTTTTGTAACAGGTATTTTCTATCTAGACAATTCACATGAAGACAGGGTTGGTCTGTCTTGGGGGATAGAGTTAACACCCATCTTACAGGCTAATTATGTTGAATTAACCTTTTACTGTATCCAATCAGGAGCCCTGGTGGCACAGTGGTTAGGAGCTATGGCTTCTAACCAAAAGGTTGGCAGTTTGAATCTACCAGCGGCTCCTTGGAAACCCTATAGGCCGTTCGTTCTACTCTGTCCTACAGGGTCACTATGAGTCAGAATTGACTTGGTGGCAATGGGTTTGGTTTGGTTTTTTTGTATGCAATTACAATATTCAGAGGATATAATCTGACCTTAACATATATAAAAAATCCATTTAACAATGAGCTGTCTTATAAGGTGGTCCTGTTTAAGTATACTGCGTATTAACTTGGAATATAGCTCTTAAAGTTTTGAGCAGTTAACATTTTCAGAAGATGAGACAGAAAATAAGGACTGGTAAAAAGTTCCCAGGCACATATAAGAAAATGAATCCTGCCTCTTTGAATACAAATCACAGACAAAATCCTATTAGTCATTAACTTGAATTTTTACAAAGGATTAGTAGCAACACCTACAGAGCCACAACAAGGATTGGATGTATACTGGAACAAGATTTCCAGAGGCAGAGCTAGGACCAAGACCAGGTTCTCAAAGAGAGTTTTTTCCTACAAGTTAATGCCTGGCATCCTGCCTCTTTGAAAGCCTTGCCTTTTCAGGCCCCAAAGGTCACCAAATCCTTTCTCAGTTCTTAGCAAAAAGACTTCAGTAGGTGCAACATATTTTAAGAATTACTTAGCTATGCAAAACTGTACAATGTTCGGCCTGTTGAGGATCTTTACTAGACCCTGTACTTCTCATTCCAAAATTG